CGATGCCCGCCACCCGGAGCGAATCCTGGTCATGCGAAAGCGAAACTATAAAGTTTACGCTGAGCTTGGCCTGACGAGCCAGTTCATGGTTCGCCAGTTAACCGTGTTGGATGCGGGTGCGGGACCGAGTCTCATCAACTCCGATATTATTCCATCGGCATTCGGGTCGAATATCCGGTACGGAACGGTTCTTCGAATAACTGACGCTAACAGCAACCCGTTGCAAACGGCTGGTACCATCGAGCTTCTCGTTCGGTTGGAGAATTGCCTTTCGAAGGTAGAATTTATTGTCACCAAAGCTTTGGCTGCCCCGGTTCTGTTGGGTTGTGACTTCTGTGATAAGTATATGGACGCCATCATGCCGCGTCGGAAGCGTGTCGAGTTATTGGATGGCACGGCCGTTCCGATTGTGCGGAAACCGCTAAAGAGAGCGGGGAAGACAAAGGCGCCGCTACCTGTCGCACAGGAATATCCCGCAGAAGAGCGAAGGGCATCGGACAAAATCCGAGTAGCCCAAACGGTGACAGTCCAACCGGAGACTCAGACCTGGGTCACAGTCCATTCCGAGGTACTCGGTACCCGTCTTGTTCAACCGGCCAGCTCTCTGTGTGAGAGATATCAAGTCGCGCTGGCGAACGGTGTGGTCCATGTGGACCCGCATCACCCGTTCCAAGTCCTCATCGCTAACTTCAGCGATCAGCCAGTACGGTTAGTTAAAGGTCAGGTGATCGGTAACGCTCTCCCGCATCCAGCGTTATTATACCCACGCAAGTGGCGTTGGCCGAAGTGATCGGAGTGGAACTTACCGCGAAAGACAGCGGAGACGCGAACGACGACGCGCCCCACGGTGGGGAAGGGTGGAGTCACGCGATCCGCCGCGGAAGCGGTACGGGAGACCACGGTGTTGACCATTGATGCTGTCGCAGCCGTGGAAAATGCCGCAAAAACGGGATGCAAGACTGTTGACTTAGGAGGGGGAGCGCCGGAAAATGCGGCAAAAGCGCGATGCGCTATTGTCGACTCAGAAGGGGGAGCGCCGGGCACGTCAGCCAGTGCCGCTGATTTTAACGAGAGTTCCGAGGCGTCAATTGCCGACTCGAGTTCCGCCGACCCAATCAAGGCGCTGAACGCGCTCGACTTTTCTCAAGTACCTGCCGCATTCCGCGGAAAATTGCGCGAATTGCTCCGCGATTTCACACCCATGTGGGATGGATCCCTGGGGGAGATCAACACGACCGAGCATGCGATCGATCTCCACCCAGGCACGCGACCTATCGCGTCACTGCCATGTCGGGCGGGCCCGAGGGCTCGGCAAGAAGAAGATGCAGAAGTGCAGAAGTGCAGAAGATGCTGCGCAATGCTGTAATTGAGCCGTGCCAATCGCCCTGGACCTCTCCCGTCGTTCTTGTCACGAAGTCAGACGGAACGTGGCGCTTTTGCGTGGATTACTTCCGCCTGAACGCCGTCAGCGTGAAGGATACTTACCCGCTACAGCGGATGGACGAATGCATTGATTCGTTAGGTAACGCCACAGTCTTCACGACTCTGGACGCCAATTGGGGATACTGGCAGATACCTGTTCAACAGGAAGACCGAGATAAAACGGCGTTCGTGTGCCACTCTGGCCTCTACCGGTTCAACTGGATGCCGTTCGGGTTAACCAAAGCCCCGGCCAGTTTCCAGCGTGCGCTGGATATCCTCTTGTCGAGGTTCAAATGGAAGACCTTTCTTGTCTACTTCGATGACATTATCATCTTTTCCCGCAGTAGGGCGGAACACCTCGAGCATGTGAGGTCCATCATGAGTATCCTGCGTGATGCAGGCATCACCCTGAAGCTGGGGAAGTGCAAGTTTTGCACCGACTCCGTGACATATCTGGGTCACGAGATCCGTCCTGGACGGTTAATGATCGATGAAGTGCGCGTCAAATCCCTCAAACAGGCCAAACACCCTACGACGCAGACCGAACTCCGGTCTTATCTGGCGTTGTGTAACGTCTACCGACGGTTCGTACCGTCGTATACGGATATTGCTACGCCACTCTATGCCCTCCTACGCAAGGGGGAATCTCCGAAACTGGACTCGTTGACCGACGCGCAAGCGTCGGCATTTTTCACACTGTTGGCCGCCGTCACATCGCCACCAGTGCTTTCGCTACCAAAGCGAGATCTACCGTACTCACTCGACACCGACGCCAGCAATCATCAAGTCGGATGCGCGTTATTTCAGACAACCCCTGAGGGGGAGCCCCGACCAATCGGGTTGTGGTCCCGTTCGCTGAACGACCACGAGAGGAACTACTCCGTCTCGGAAAAGGAGTGCCTCGCGGTTGTTTGGTCCCTGCAAACGCTACGTCCCTATCTCTTGGGGGCTCCTTTTACGGTATATACGGACCATTCCGCTCTGCGGTGGTTGCTCTCAATCACGGAACCCTCCGGGCGTCTCATGCGCTGGAGGCTGCGCTATCCGAGTTCGACTACAACATTATTTACAAAAAGGGCTCGCTCAATACGCAGGCCGATGCCTTTTCCCGACTCGGGTCGGCTTCTGAAGCCGTTCCTACCGACGACGAAGATGGTATACAGTGCTTCTTGCTCGACGGAGATCCCGCTCATTTAGCGGTTGATGACGACCTATGTGACGACCTCTTGGTATTAGCTGGAGAGGAAGCCCCTGCGGGTTCCTTCGAGGTCATTACCCCCGAGGAATTGATCCGAGAACAACAACTGGATCTCTTCTGCACGAAGGTTCGCAGCCGCATTAACGGTGGAGAACAACTCCCGCTCGCGGCGAACAACCAAGGATACTTGGTCAGGACTGTCAAGTCTACCCCACAGATCGTGGTGCCGCATACTTTGCAACGACGAGTTTTACGCTTGAGTCACCACTCCAAGTTAGGTGGACACCCCGGAGGGCGGAAGTTGTACCCCACCCTCCGTCGGGATTTTTACTGGCCAGAAATGTCGCTGGATTGCTACGCTCTCTTGCGAGAATGCGTGCCTTGTGCACGGAACCAAGTTCGACTTCGGAAGCATGCAAAGCAGCTACAGCTCTTCCTCGCACAGGCCCCGCTGGAATACGTCGCCATTGACATCCTCGGTGAGTTCATTGCTACTCCCCGCCGGAAGCGGTATCTGTTAGTTATCACAGATCGTTTCTCGAAGCTCGTCCGGACTGTACCTCTCGCGAGTATTTCTGCCTCCGAAGTGGCGAAGGCTTTTGTCTCCAATTGGTTATTACCTATGGACCCCCGGTTGTACTTCTATCCGACAACGGCCCGCAGTTCGCGTCTCAGCCCCCTAGGTGCTTGCGCCTAAGGACGGGGATGTGGTAGCTAGTCGCGTTCTTCGCGGTTCTCGACGCCGAGATCACCCGGTACTGTCACCGGTACACACCCATGGGAGCGCTATTGCGCCTCGTGCTCAGCACAAGGATGTTCGACCGAATTCGGACACGCCTGACGCCGCGCACGACTCACCACGACCAGTGGACGCAGCACCACCCGAAAGGGCAGCCACCATGGAACCGCCTACGAAAGCAGGTGACCCTCTCCAACGGGGACGTAAGGATGCCGACGTTCCGCTCGCGCGGACCCGGCAATCGGAGCTGGTCGCCAGCCCTGATGGCTGGAAGGTTGGCAGCTACGCACACCGCCCACAAGGACGGATACTCACGCGTAGTGAAGTGGTGAAGCCTCCAGTCGGAGGGAATGACCTCCGCAGTGCGGAGGGAGAGGAACAGGACGCGCGCACCTCGTTTGACGAGGGGAGAAAACCGTCAGACGACGGAGCGTCGCGGATGCCGCTACATGGTGCGGGCGGAAAGCCGCCGGCAAAAATGCCCGGAAATAGCCAGGATTTGGTCGCTGGTACCCACCGTGGGACACCGCGGCTACCACCAGTAACCCCTGGATCCGCCACCAGACAGTCAGCGGCACAGCAAGTGGGAAAATCCGAGATTATTTCGGGAACTCAATACCGAGATGGGACGCTCGTCCCTCCGCGAGGCGCAAAGGCAACTCAAGCCGCCGCGCCAAGCGGGACCCCAGCCCGTCTCCGGGATAGGCGGCCGCCTTCGCAGGCAGCCTCGCCGAGCATTGCGTCGGATGTTCCGACTCGGTCGGCTGATGCCGTCACTCCAGCCGCGCAACCGCGGGTAACTCTCCGCCGCTCACAGCGGATCAGGGAAACTATGGGCCGACTTCTGCCAAGAGAGACCAGCGCAAAGGCGCAGGGAACGACAACCGCCGAACGGGAAGTGAACAACCCGCATGGGCAACTGAACCCCTCGGAGCAACCACGTCGTCGTGGATCCCGTCGACTGTCGCGAACGGAACCTCCCCTACCAGGGCAAGTTTCAACCATCACGCATGGACCACCACGAGCGTGGGTGCAACCGAGCACATTTCCGCACGAGTACGTGATCGACCATGTCGTGGGACATGATGTCCGTGAAGACGGTTCGGTATTCTACCGCATCCGTTGGTACGGTTACTCGCCTGCGAGCGATCCTCTCGAACCCATCGAGCATATCCCGCGTTCACAGATACTGCGGTATCACCGGCGCACTCGCACGGAACCTCCAACGGAAGGGCTAAGCCACGCTATGGTGGGCATGCTCGCTGCCGGTCGTCTACGGGAACCTCCGGACGAGGATATCACCCCACTGGGTTGCACCGATTCACTCGGATTTCGCGAGGCCTACTTTTAGGATTGCGATCGCGCTAACCTACGATCAAGGTAGGGAGTGAACTACCGCACGTGGAAGCGGACAGCATGTAATTGAAGAAAGAACCTGTCGCATCAGGAGATCAACACGAAGTTGTAACAGCATCAGAACAGATGGAACATAAGCAAGAATATGAAGACCTTTATTTCAGAGGAAGAAGAAGTGAGAAGCAAAGAAGTAACGCATTAAGTTGGGGAAGTCTCAGATAGAGACATATGTCGCAACGTGCGACGACCGAGCTGCGGCTCGGATACCATCCCAGTTAGGATGGATTACATCGCACCAAGACCGGGTGCATCATCCGGATCGCCACGCCTGTGGTGGCGCTCGATCGCAGCCGTAAGGTTACGGGAATGATTATCCGCGAAATTCGCGTGGGCATAATCCTTCACCTGTTCAATGGTCCAGTGTGGTGGAACGATCACGCCGATGCCTCGGAGGAAGCCCACGATGGCCGCAAAGTCACCCGAAGCCTCCCTCGCGGGTGCCGGTATGTCTGGCTCCGTTGTCACCGGGACACCCTCCACCTCGGAGGTAGCTCCCGCGTCAATAGGGGCACCACTGGACGGAGGAACAATGGGATTTGGCACCGCAGGAGTTGCGGATACTTCAACCGGCGAAGAAGCCGGAACCACCGGTTCATTGACCGGCGCCGTAGCTGCGGCAGTGTTGTGCGCGTTCACCGACCCTTCGGGACTTCCCGCCTTGGTGGGGTTTGACGTTTCCACGGGGATGGTGTGGTCTACGAGAGGCTCGTCTTCCTCGAGTTGAGGGGCGTAGTCGTCCACCATCACGTACCCACGTGGATGGTATGCCGGCACGATCCGCGGATATCACCGGAAGGCGGTTACCTCGTCAGAGGATGTCATAAACCGTTCTTCCCACGGGTCGTAGAAGACATAATCGCCCGAGTTGGGTGCCGTCCTCCCCGGAGCGAGGTCCACGCGAAGCGTGCCCCGAGAACTCTGCTCGGCAGGAACTTGCGACCACTCGATACTGGAGATCAGGTCGATGAGATGACGTACCTCTTCATAGTTGGAGGATGACCCGAGGGGGACTGACAGATCCACGGATAGGATTCCCGCGCGTACTGGCGGAGGGACGAACCATAAGCGACCTGTGTCGCAAACCTCCTACAGTATATGGGCGGCCACCTTCGCGCACCATTCGGAGGCGAAGACGGCCCAGAAGCCGGAGTCTTTATCCGAGATGAGTTGGGATCCCACGTAGGAGACGCACGGCGGGAGCTCTACGTAGCAACCTCCTGGCATTTCCAGGGACCCCCAACAGTTGGGGATGCGAACATACCTGCCCTGGAGGTGACGCGGATGAAAGCGCTGCGCCTCCACGCTCTGGTATGGTACCATGTACCCGAAGCGCCTTCGGCACCGCCTCTCGAAGCGGATACTCTCTTTGAAATTCCCGCGACTTCCTTTGCGGATGTACCGGAATTCTGCCAGGATAATTGGCCTCGTCCAGCAGAGAGCACCGGTATCCGGACCGAAGAAGCCGCGCCAGCGGGATACGTCAAGTTGGCTTAACCGTTCGGCGTAGGAAATCTCTCCGTCAGTACGGTACAGACCGAGGTCCAGTTGGAGAGCCGGCGGGATTGGAACATCGCTCAGCGTGCGACTCATCCTCTGAAAGGCCAACCGCGCCATGGCGGAGCGTGCATCGTGCAACGATTCACCGTTCTGACGGTCGCGTCTCAGGCAAGAGGAATGCACGGCAATGTGCGTTTTCCAGTCCCAACTCTGGATGGTCTCCAACCGGAATCCTCCGGGCAACCAGCCTCCTGCGTCGACGTAGGACATCACCAGAGCGGTGTCAAGTAGCCCTTGCGGGTGAAACCAGGGTGCCCTGGAGAAGAGTTCCGAATCTCGCATCGGATGCGACGCTCGCAACTCCTCGTAAGAGGCCCACCGAGATCCGGAAGTTGGTACCATAGTCCGCCTCGAAGAGGAGAGGTGCTCCCACGAGATCGGGGTGTTGGATCCGCGCGATGGCGGTAGAGGTAAGGAGACCGATCCCGTACGGGGAACCAAAGAAGTTCGGGACCGCGCGACTTTCGCGGAACCCGCAAAGACGAACCGAGCAGCAGCCGCAAACGGGTTCCTGGTGGTTGTTTGGCTGGTTTGTGCGACCGCAGGATGCCAGGAGACCGCGGACGAAGCGGTAGTGTTCCGAGGGATTGGGATATCGCCTCCTTCGGTAGGAGGAAGACTCGACATCGAGGGAATGCCAAGTCGGAAGGCAGGAGAAGGACGCGTAAGAAGGAAGAGATCAGCATCTCTTGGCAGACTCGAGACCGCAGATGTCGAGGGGATGCGCTGGTACCCAGATTTCGGTTGGCACCGCCGGTTAGCGCAGGCTTTTTATAGCGCCGACGTTTCCGGTTGTCGCCGCTCGTCGAGGCGGAACTCCAACCTAAGGAGGGGGATGTGTAGAACAATGCTCTTTTTCGCCTCTGAGGGGCCTCCGCTTTCATAAGTGGATAACCTGCGATGCAGGACTCATTGGACTCGATGTATGAGTCGATGCCGCGATGCAGTGTGGATTTGGCCTGGTGTAGATGCAACCACTGGAGTAGTGGGATTCCGGCACGTGCCGGCACATATGGGCCTGTTTACAGTGCCACATCCGCTTACGCGGTACAGTACCCAGGGGCCGAGGTGGCCCCACAGCCGCCCCGCACGGGGGCACAGTTTAGAGCTCTTAATTAGTCTAGCGTAATTGTAATTACTAATTAGTTGTAGTGCTACGACTGCAGTAGTACATATGCACGATGGCCATCGTCGTCGCGACCAACTAAACTAGACACCCTGTGTTCGGCTCTAACTCGTTTGCCTGGTACGCGCGTCGCCCTCTACAAAGGGACCGCGGTACTCAGCACGAACCTGTTATCCACCAGGGACAGGTATCGAACCTGCAACCACTTCGGTGGGTATTCGTCTCATTCCCAGTATTACTGGTTCCCGCGTTAACGGTCGACTACAGTACGTGCGGACGCCCGCTGCGGCAGTTCTCTTCCTCCTTCCCACCTGTTGTGGACGAGCGCCGAGTGTCGCTTCCAACTCCCGTTCCAGGCTCTGGCCGAGCCTGCCCCAGCGAGTCTCGCGGCTCTTTTCCCCGCGTACGGGTGTGCACCCACCCTCCCGTGTGGTTTCTCTGTGTTGTGTGTTTTGTCCCTGACGTACAGGATCCCGTGAACGCGGCACTACAGGCTTCTAACCCAATCATCCGCCCTAAGCAAACGCTGAAGGTGCGGTGCCGGTCTTACACCCGGTGGCTCCCGTTGGGAGTCCGCGCCAAGGGGCGGCTTTGTCTCTGATCCCTACCCATAGGAGGGCGTTCCGAACAACGTCGGTGATTGCATCTCTTTCCCCTTTTTCGGGTTTGGTTGTTGTCCCACACAAGCCTTTCTGGACTTGAACGATGCGAAATATGTGCCAGGGCGAACTATTTTGGGAAATGGAAAGCGGAAAGAAAATAAATCCAGGGCAAGTCCGAACACGCTCTCAAACTGTGAGTTGGATGGTATTGTAGATTTGAGCGACAATTCATCTATACTCGAACTACCTTGATTTGTGCGATGAAGATGATCGTATCGCCAGCTGAATTTTGGAGTCTTTCGCATGACACAGGAATTGTAATGTTCAAGGACTATTATCAATCCCTTAAGACTTCGCGAATCGCGAGACGGTCACAGGCGTCTCCAATATGTCGAAGACTGTCATCTAGTATTGGTAGCAGAAGCTGGCTAGTTGGAAGTCGCGTTTGAGGTGACGAATCCTAATCGTGACTTCATAGTCTCAATCCCCAACTTTTGTTTCTTCTGCAACAAAACACGGTCTTTCACATAGCGCTAGATGACGTACAAAAGGAACGATTGTGGGATTTGGGTCTAGAAATAAAAGTGACCTTTAGAAGTTAGAGATGAGAGTTGCAATACCCACTAGTCAGCACAATCGGTTGTCCCAACGCCCCAAAGATACGTCGAAGGACAAGCAAATCTTCAGAGAATAACTCGAAGCAGCAGCGTGGAAGAACAGCATCATAAAAACGATGGCGGCAGGGGCATCACAGACAAAAAGACGTCTGCGAGCTACGTGCTCCCTGAGAGCCGATATTACGAAAAAACTCTGAGCAAACTGCGCACGATGACATGCTTCCTCTAGGATATATGGAAGGAACCTCGTCGGCACAGTGTGTATGTAGTATCCAAAAGTAAATCTAATATCCCACTTGACAGCCCGAGTGACGTATTTGAGTCTCAAAACGTTGCTTTACCACGGTCGAGTGGAAAGACGCCAGGTTTGCAAAATAGAGCCCAAGGTAAAGTTTGAGTGAAAAAGAAAGAGAGCGAGAGAAATAACGCTTCTTTTCATGCAGTAGGGAGAGAAAACACTTTATTGTACACAGTAGTCACATATAGTAAGCAAGGATGTCTGTAAGGAAGGATGTGAGTAATGTGGGGGAGATTTGGGTACTGTACAGGGTACAGTACCCAGGAGTGGCCCCAGGACCAAAGCCTTCAAAAGATGATTTTATTGGTCTACGTGTACGCCAGGTGTACACGTGGACAATCTCCCTTTGAAGGGCGGCGGTCCTGGGAAGTGGAAGATGCTGGCGGCCCCTCTATAAGAGAAAGGGGCGCGCCGCGACACCCCGCGACAAGACACAACAGAAAAAAACAACAACACCGGGACCGACCCCCCCTCTTGAAATAAACATCTCGCTTTTCTCTCTCCCCTACGCGCGCAGCCCCCTTTTTTAGCTGTCAACATGGTACTCTTGTGGAGGGGTGGCAAAGAAGACGGCTCCCTGTCACAGTTTGACGGGTCGAAGCCGGCCGACGTTCACAAGTTCTTCTTCGTCTTCGAGAATGTTGCCACCTCTGGCAAGTCGGACGAAGAAAGGGCATCTGAACTCCTTCGCTACCTGGAGGGAGATGCATTCGACTTCTTTTATCAAGCCTTTGTCAAGAACGGAGATATCAGTGCAGATGGCTCCGACTACCAGAAGGTCAAGAAGGCCTTGGTCGAGCGGTTCGCCCCGGTTGAATCACCTGAAGATGTGATTCGGGATGCGATGGCCGCTCGCCTTTCTTTCGGGGATCTCAGTGGGTCCCTTCGAAACTCAGACCGTCTCTACGAGAAGGCGGGATTCAACGACGAAGCGAAGTTCGGACTGCTTCGCAACGCCGTGATGGAACATCTCGAGTTGGCCCAGTTTGCCATCTATCGAGGTGCGAAGACCTACAAGGCCCTATTCGACGCAATCATGGACTTCTGGTCTGGTCGCTGCGCCTTTCAAGCGGCGGCGAACTCCTTGAGTAATTGGCGCTACCAGGGGTCAGAGAGCTCGCACGGTATGAATGAGCCGAAAGGGCAAGGTGGGTCAAAAAGGGTCATGATGCGTTCAAAAGCTCCCTTGTCTCCACTCGAGACGAAGGTTGACGCTTTAGCTGATCGACTAGCCGATATTTCCCTTATTATCAAGAAGAATCAGTCGAGGGATGACGCAACAGCATTCCGCCCCGCCCACGATCGTACTTGTTTTTATTGCAAACGACCGGGTCATGGCGCTAATAGATGCGATGCGAATCCGCATAGGGACACGAAATGCCCTCGCTGTGGAAAATTTGGTCATTCAGAGACAAGCTGTTGGGCTGGAATTGGTCCACAGAGGGGAGGTAGCAGTGCCTACCCTCCTAAGACGACCCAGACGGATATTGCCGTGTCGGGTACACAGACGGGCTCCGCAGGAAACCAGGTGAGTGTTGTGACGCACGAAGACCTCCCTGCTGATGAGAAGTTAGTGGCATCAGTCAAGAGAAACGCCGATGGAGAGCCGGTGGCCAAGACGCGAAAGGATGGTGGCGGTGAGCCAATCCCGTCCCTTCTCAACCCGCGTAAGTACTGGACTCCGAACCACATGAGGAAACCTCCTAAGCCCGGCCGTCGAACAAGAAAGAAGAGGACAAGTAAGAAGAACGCCGTCCAAGAGCACTCGGGGAAGTACGACGTGGTTTCTTCCCTCGCGAACGCCCCCTCTGGTTTGACATTCGGTCAACTGATTCGAGGAGATGGCGACGAGGCTAAGAAAGAGATCCGTCGTTTGTTCAACAGTCGCCCTAGACGCCCCGTAGCTGCTTCGATCGGTACTTTGCCGAAACGTCTGAAAGTAGTTTCGGTACAAGTCTACGGGACACAAATGAGAGCGTTGTTAGACTCAGGAGCTATCCCTAACGTTATGAATGCGTCTGTGGCATCGAAGCTCTCTCTGTCTCCAAAGCCGACCTCGACGAAGATTACGGTCGCCAATGGACAAAAGACAACCTGCTTAGGTTCCATCGAGGAAGTTCTTGTCACGTTCAATGGCGCTGTTACTTCACTCAACTTCTTGGTTGTTGAAGGATCCCCAGTTGATATCTTAATCGGGTATCCAACTCTCGAAGAACTTCAAGCCTGCATCGATCTAGGTCACCAGTCTGTTAGTATGTTGATCGGAAACAAAACCGTGAAAATGAGTCTGGAGTTTGATCAAGTACGTCCTATCGTCGCGGATTCGGAGACTGATAGTGAGGACTTCACTTCTGATGTCGAGTCGTTCGCCTCAGAAAACTCGTCGGAAGAAGAGACTTATGTTGTCGCCATCCTCGGCGATGAACCTTTCGAGCTAGACTTAACTCTGGACGGAGCGATCGGAGAAGATGAGGAAGTAGAATCACCTGATTCGAATGTCATCAACAAGGCCGTGAAAATGCTTTGGGAAAAACTTGTGCATCTTGACAATGAAGCTCAAGCAGTCATCGAGACCGCCCTGATGGATAAGAGTATCGTTGCTACATCCCTTGACGATCTTCGGCCTGCTGAAGTCCCAATCAAGCACCATTTCGAGTTAGATGATACTAATCCGATCTATCACTCGGCGAGGAGAATGGCTCCCTTGCATAACGAAATCGTTCGGAAAGAGCTGGACAAAATGCTGGAAGCAGGAATCATCACGCCTTCCAGCGCCGCATGGTCCTTTCCGGTCGTCATCGTATCCAAAAAAGATGGGAATCCACGCTTCTGTGTTGATTACCGTTCTCTGAACCAGAAGATGAAAGCAGACAGATGGCCTTTGCCGAAAATAGAAGAGATATTTGATGACTTGGAAGGAAGTGCGTACTTCACTTCTCTGGATTTGTTCAGTGGTTACTGGCAAATTCGGATGGCACAACAAT